CGAATCTTTGGAACCGAACCGAACCGAACCGAAAAAATCTCAAACCGAACCGAACCGAACCGATAGAACTTTTCAAAATTTCGAACCGAACCGAAATCGGTTCGGTTCGGTTCGATTCGGTTTGAAACCGAACCGGTCCCATCACTGTTAGTGTCCACATTGTTCTAATGTTTCTTTAATTTTAACAAAATCAGGAACTTTTCCTGCATCAGCAAGTACTTCAGCATATTTTATTTTACCTTGTTTATCAATAACAAAAGCACTTCGTTTTGTAACACCTTTAAGACCAAATAATGGAAATTCATCATAAAGTGAATCATATTTTTTAGAAACATCTTTATTAAAATCGGATAATAAATCAAATGGAAGATTTTGCTCTTCACGAAATTTTCCTAATGTAAACATTGAATCAACAGATATACCAACAATTGTTGCATTTTATTTTTCATATTTTTTAATATCATCTCGAGCTGAACATAATTCTTGTGTACATACACTAGTAAATGCTAGTGGAAAAAATAATAAAACAGCATTTGATTTTGATGTTAAATCCTTAAGTGAAACTTCTTTTCTATCTGTGTTGTATAAAGTAAAATCAGGTGCTTGATCACCAACTTGAAGTGGCATTTTTCTTCAATAATAATATTGATAATTATTTAAAAATATATCTACAATATATAAAAATAAATTGTTTTTCAAAGGAAAAAAGTTAAATTTTTGATTTATCATTTAATTTAACTTATTGTTGAGTTATATATTTTTTAGACTTTATTCTAGTATAAATTCATCATTGTATTAGTCGAGTGATATGAAGAAGGATTTTGAATAAAAGCATGTTGTGTCCTTCGATTACATTACAGGTAACAAAAAAATCTTGCTGAAACATGATTGAGTAATAGAAAGAAACTGTCAACCAATCACGTTTTAGTTGAATTTTTCTTCTTCAATCTAGTTTTTGGAGTTTCTCAATGACTTTAATTCAAAATTAAATATTAGACGTCAATGCAGTGAATTTTTCAACTTGAATTCAAAGAAAAATGACCTAACCATAAATGTCAATGATTACTTTGATTGTAATTAGCTGTTCTTCTTTTTGAATTTTCTAAAAATTGAGATATTATCATCGATCAATTATTTTTTTGTCATCCTTATGAAAAATGAAATATTTTCTCATATAGCCCTTAAAACAAAATATCATTTGTCAGAACAAGAATACGAAATTAACAATGATAGTTTACGATATTCATTAGCATTATTATAGTATGTATTCGTTATCATATACAAAATAAAATAAGCATCTAATAAGAAACAAAGATATTATACTGTAATCGTATTCGAACTTTATAAATATGTTCTTCTATGACAGACATGTTTGGTAATCTAAATATAATTATTTAGTTATTTAATATAAAGCCCCTTAACTTATTTTTTTTGTAAATGTTATTATGAATATTTCACAAAATAGTCTCAGTATTTTCTTATTAAAAATAAGCTAATAGTCAAAAAACAAAAAGAATAATTACATATAATTATTGATCGCCTCATACATTGTTTTTCTCTTTAGAGTAAACCAGTTCATGGAAAAGAATGAGAAAAAACAAAGCATAATGTAAAGAGTAAATTCTTTCTTCGTGTTTTTAATACACATAGGCAAATGCTTTGTTATTTTATAGTTATAATTAATAATAGAAAAGCGACAAATATTTGCTTTTTTTGGAAATGTGATTGTTAGTTTGTGTGTTAGAGTTGTCATACAACCTTATTTTTTTAAAGAAAGTTTGTTTTCTTTTTTTTGAAGTAACGAATGTTCGTTATCAATGATAGATCTAAAATTTTTATGATAACCGACGATTATAATTATAAATTATATTTTGAAATTATTTTAAATTCAAATGAATGATTTAGTATGTAAGTTAATGATAAATAATTCAATGAAAAATATCAAGAATGTCTTCTTTATTTTAGAATATAATTGTCGATGATTACAAATAATAGGAATTAAATTTTCAGTATATAAATGATTATATTTAAGAAAGATATTCGATTTATTCAAGAAATTTTAAAATGAACTTGTTTTTTTTTTACAATATTTAATAGTTCGTGTAAAATGAATAAAATACAAAAGCAAACTCTTAAGAATAAATATTCATCGATTCTAATAATTTCTTTTAACATAATTATTAATTAGAAATCTTTAGAAAATAAAAAAAAATCAAACTGTATAAAACCATCAATTCGTTCATGTCAATTATTTTTAATAATTTGAAGAAATTTTTTTAAATTCAATTTCTTTTTCAGAAATAATTTTTGATGAATCACAAACTAACTTTTCATTATAAATATTCGATTGATTAGAAGACATTTTTTCTTTAATTAAATTATAAACATTAATTAGAATATTGTCATCCATAGTTAGACCAATTAAAGGCCAATGATTTTTATCTAATAAAATATAATTTTTTCGCATAAAACGTTTCATATCACAATGCCACCAAACAGGTGTAAGTGACATTCCCCATAATTTATATGAAAATATGTCAAGTTCATCTGTTGAATGAAATTCACATAATCGAATATCACTATATTTAACTTTTTTATTACCAAATGGAAAATAATATAAATGTATAACAAGATAATCTGAATAACATGTTACAAAACTATTTGAAATTAAAGGAATATTTGATTTATCAGTAGTTTTCATTAATAATATTAATCAAATATAATATGACAAATGTAATTTATAAAGGAAAAAAAAACGACTCACTTCTTT